GGAAATGGGGGTGTGCCCACCTGACTTTACTGAGTGACCAACAGCTCCCCTTACGCACCCAGCCTGATGATGGATGTGTTTCCTGGATGTGAGGCACGAGGAGTAATCGTAAAGTTAATCGGGCATGTAGAGACATAACTAAAGAGTGACGGCCACGTACAGTGTCCAGCTAATTGGGCACTTAACGTGGAGACATTAAACAGGCAAACAGAACCAGCCCGCCAGCACGAAAAGGTCTTCTCTTAGACGCTGACGGTCCTTCCATCTCAAAACATGTGAGGACATCCCGATTTTTCAGCCTCAGGGTCTGGGAATCCCCAAGTGTTGCCCACTTAACGTGCATGGCCTCTAACCTGTCCCCTCTCACATTACGGCCTGGGAAGCGGGGCCCCGAGAACAAAGGCTGTTCAAGGTCATCGACCACATCAAAGACAGGGTTCAAACCTGGTGTTTTAACCTGTGGCTTACATGTTCTCTGTCTTGAAGAATGCACTCTCTCTTCTAACGTAAAGGTAACGCCGGGTCAAGCAGGTGCAGAGGAGTGTAGCTAATCGGGTGCTTAGGGAGGAGGAGATGCCAGAGGCATTAGAGAGGGAGATGAAAGTTACTTGTCACCCCACCATGTGGCGGTACTCACTGTGCATGTTTTGGTGTGTTTCTTTCTTAATTCTTTTCTTTACCAGTGCACACCATGAAGATATTCAGATGAGCACGTTCCAAACCCAAACTCACACCCTCACCAAATTTTACATCCCGGGTTTTGAAGGTTTGTTTTTTTTTTTTTAACCCATTTCATATAATAAGAAGAGCATTTGCCATGCGATCGGTCACACTGCTTCCTTCCTTCCTGCTGCATTTCTCAAAGCGTGCCCAGGGATTCTCCAGCACCGGGATCATACAAGGAAGCCACTCCAAATACAGATTCCCAGGCCCTGCCCAGCCCTGTAGAATCGTTGTCTGGATGTTGAACACTCTCCCCAGGCGACCTAGCGGCGCCGTAAATCGTGGGCTCTCAACAGAGCTGCGTGCTGACATACACGCTTAACCGGATCCGCGGCTGAGAGGCTCAGAGGGTGGGGGGCCCTGCGTTGTGTTCTTTTTTAATGCTCTCTGGGTGACTGGCGTGTAGTGAGGGTTGTGAGCATCTTCCGTTCTGCATATAGTGCTCTGTTCCCTGCCAAGGCCGGGAACAACAAACATTCCTTCTGGGGCGAAGAAGCTGAAGTGTTTTAGCGCCAGGACAAAGACCCACTTGTGAATCGTGGGCTCCCACGACATAATTTTGAATAGCTCCTTACAAAGTTTGATTTCCAGGTTATACTCTTTGGCTGTTGGGGCCTCTGTGTTGAGGCCCTAGCTCTGGGGGCTGCGGAGGGCGTGTCCAAGTGGGCGGGCTGCAGGAGACCCCCTGCCCATCCCGCTCCGAGGAAGGTCTGCCCATCGCTACCCCACGTCTTCTCTCTTTATCGGACTGTATCGAATTCACAATAGCAAGGTTCCCTGAGCCGAGATATCCAAATAACGATCTTAACTCTGTTGTTTTTCTGTGCCGTTGGCTGCCGCTGGTAGAAGCTCATGAGATGCTACCAGTCCGGCGTGGGTTAATGGGGCCTTTCAGCATTTAGGCTTAAATGGTGGAAGAAACAAGCATCTTGGAAGGGAGGCTAGAATGTAGGTCTACAAGTGGTGGGTGAATCCCCAGTCCTTAGTTTCCAGAGGAGGCAGGAGAGCCTCCTAAGTTCCGTGAACAAAGTGTCCACTGTTTGGCTTTGGGTCATCTGTCCCACGCGCTCTTTTCTGAGCTATGCTGGCAAAGTTCGACTTGAGGCAGGAGGCCACGGGGCTTAATGAAAGAAAGATGACTTGCCGGCACAGAGAACTAGATTCTAGCCCTGGCTGAGCGGTCCCAGGCCAAGCTCTCTGTGCTTTGGGACCCCCACTGAGAGAGTGAGCAAAACAGAACCTGACCATTTTCTGGCTAAGACAGCGGGTGAAGGAGAACAAGGCTGTGTATAGGAGAGAGAGCACCGTGCGCTTACCGTCCGCTGCCCCCGTTAGCTCACCTCACTGCCTCCTAATATTCTGTAATTCTGTGGCCTTGAAAGGCATCCAGAGAGGCAAAATCCAGAGCTAAAATCCAGATTTCTCAACCCTGTGCCGAGGGTTCTTTTTTATTATTATTAAATTTATCGGAGCGATATCGGTTCATCAGGCTGAGGGTTCTTAAGAGGAACGAGATGGCGGGGCAGCTGTTGGGTGTCTCGTCCCCGCTCCAGGGAAGCAAGGGGAGAATGGAGCAGAACCAGGTGGGGCGATCGTGTGCGCGTAACTTGGCACTTGGCGGTGACCGAGGGGCCCTTGGTGCGGGGGAAGGCAGGGGAATTGAGCAGGTGATCAGACTGCTCCAGACGATTCCCCTAGCTCTGCTTGGCACACAGTGGCGGTGTGGCGTAGCCGTTAAAAACAGGCGTGGAGCCAGCCTGCCCGGGTCTGAAGCCCAGCTTTCTCCACCTCCTCTAGTGTGATTGGCTAAATCACTTAACCTCTCCGTGCCTTAGTCTTCGCATTTGGAAAACGGGGCCAGGAATAACCCTTAGCTTACAGAGCCGCTGGAAGAATTCATTAACGAAATTCAGGCGGGGAGCTTATCTCTGCCCGGCGCATAGGAAGCGCTCAGTGATGTTATCCTGATGTTCTCCTAGGTGTCCTGGGGCCATGCACTGGGGGCCTCGCTTCTGGCTCCCGCCGCCTCCCATCGTCCTATAAAAACAATGTTTAGGGAAAACGCGGGAGGTGGCTGGTGCAGCGGAGGAAGGGAAGAGGGTGCTGCCTCCGGCCCTGTGTACCCTGCTTCCCAAGCCACCCTGTCCAATCCGGGTCACAGGGAGACCCCGGAGCCTGCAGGCTGCTTTGGGCTCTCCCTTGGGCACAGCGGCCCTCTGTTGAATGGACCACAAAAGAAATTGCTGCTATTTATAACATTTCGAGTCAGAGCACTCGAGGGGGTGGCAGGAGCGAGGAGGGCCTGTGGGAAGTGTCAGCATCAAGTGGCTGACAAGGACCTTTTGGAGCCCGGGCCACCCAAGTCCCACCCCAGTGGTTCCCACACCCACGGTGTCCACAGCTGGGACCCAGCCCATGGAGGGCGGGGCAGAGTCCGGCTCTATCTGAGTCCCCTGGCTGTGGCTGAAATGGGAACAGGAAGGTCCTGTTTGAGGACAAGGCAAGGAGATGACTTCAAGCTGGTGGGAAATGTCCCAAAAACCCACGTGACATGAAAGCAGAATGCCCACGGTGAAGTTGTTCTGCAGCCTTGCTAAGCGGAGTGCGCAGGGGGCCAGTGGCATTGTGTGCGATCACTTGGGAGCTTTCTAGGAATGCAGCACCTCAGGCCCCACCCAGACCTGGTATCTCGGAATCTGCATTTGGTCAAGATGCCCATGAACTAGTATAATGCACCTGAAACTTGGGTTCTGGTTTCGGCTCTGCCACACTTGCTAGCTGTGTGACCTTGGGCAAGTCATTTAACTTCCCTGTGCCTTACTTTTCTCCTCACGGGTAAAAGGACATAATAGTGGTGCCTACCTCCTGGGTTTGGGTGGCAAAGCTCTTTATACCAGTCAGGTATATAATAAACACTGTGTAAGTATAAACTGTTACTATATGTCACCTGATACGCAATTCGGCTTGCTTTTGCCGGATACAAATTTGGGAGGTGGGCTGCCCTCATTCATCCCATGACTCAGCCATCGTGTATGAACACTCGCTGTTCTGGCCCTGGGGACACACAGCAGGGAAGAGGACAGACAAGGTCTCTGGCCCAGGGGAGCCCAGAGTGAACTCACAATGAACCTTAATGCAGTCGGTGCAGATAATCTCAAAATTACTTACAAATATGACAGGTGCTTTGAAGAAGTATAAGTTTGCTGTCAGAGTAAATAAAATGTCAGAGAATGCTTTTAAGAGGAAGTGACATTTCAACTGGAATCTGAAGGATGAGGGGAATCCAGGTAAGACAATCTCGTGTGTGTGTGTGTGTGTGTGTAAGAGAGAGATCACAAATGTGTATGTGTATGCGTGCTTGTGTGTGAGTGTGTGAGTGGAAGCTGTATTCCCACAAATGTGTATGCGTGTGCGCGCTTGTGTGTGAGTGTGTGAGTGGAAGCTGTATTCCAGGCACAGGGAGCAGAATGGGCCAAAGTCCTGAGGCAGATAGGAGAACTGGAACTCGAAAACCAGCGTAATCAGAGCAGTGGTTCTCAGACTTGAGTGGGCATCAGAATCCTCTGGAGGTTTTGTTAAAACAGGTGGCTGGGCCCCACCCCCGGAGTCTCTGATTCGGTTGGTCTGGGGCGGGGCCCAAGAATTTGCATATCTAACAAGTTCCCACGTGACTCTGATGCTGAGGGTCTGGAGAACCCATATGGAGAACCACCGAACCAGAACCAGAGCACTGAACGCCAGATCAAGAGGGAGAAGAGGTGTAAGGTTTCCCCTGGGGCCAGACCACGTGGGGTCATGGAAACCTCATGGAATGGGAACCACGTAAAGGCGTTGAAGCAGAGTGGGAGTGACCTGGTGAGATGTCTGTCTCAGGAACAGCGTCCTGGCTGTGGGGGGAGGACAGTTTGTAAAAGGCTCTGCGTGGAAGTGGGCAGACTATGAAGAGGTTACTGCAGTCGTCCAAGTGAGATGAAGGTGGCATGGAAGTGGTGCGGATGGAGAGAAATAGGTGGGTTCCAGAAATATTGGGGCGATAGATGCGATAGAACTTGGTTAGGTCATTGAATATCAAGAGAGGGTCAAGGGAGACCCCACCTGTGATGTTCTTCAGATGCATCAGACTTCACGTTCATGCGACTGTTTCTTAGGGAAGGTCCAACAGTCATCATCAGATCCTTAAGATTCTATGACCCAAACAAGGTGAAGACCATTAGCCTGATACTGTGGGAAATGCAGGTGGTGCCTGGCCCTAAAATGTCCCGTGTCTCTGCTTCCAGGCGCCTGGTGGACCGTCTGGAGAACATGAGGAAGAACGTGGCCGGGGACGGGGTGAATCGCTGCATACTGTGTGGAGAACAGTTGGGGATTCTGGGCTCCGCCTGCGTAGTGTGTGAGGACTGTAAGAAGGTACCATCACCCTCCTCTTCCCCTGCATCCCTGCTCATCACATGCAGAGGGGATGGGCCTGGGCTCAAGCCTCAGGGATCCCTGGGTCTTGGGGATAGAGCTGGGATCCTTAAGGGTAGTTGCCAGAGTGTGATTCCTTCTGGGATGCTCTCGTGCCCAGCTATCTCCCGAGGTAACCCCGATCCTGGTTCCTCCCACGGAAGTCACTGTGACTCTTCAGAGCTCAGCTCTATCCAGGATGAACTTGGGAGCTTGAGGTAGGACACGAGCTATAGTTGAACTTACAGGTATCCTGGTTTTGGCTTAGCAAGTTATATGTCATGCCGAAGAGCCTGATGGGCACGTGTCTACACATGCATGTCCTTGGAAGGCTAACCCGGTACTCTCTTACTTACAGCACAGGTGACTTAGAAAGCCACCTCCGGCCAAGTTAGGGTCACTGTGCTTCGAGAGCCTTCATTCTTGAGGGCAAGACTCCTCCTGCTCCTCCACCCTGCACCCTCTCCTCAGCTGTCTGCACTTGACAATCCAGGACAGAGGGAGAGCTGACCTTGGGTCTGCCCGATTCCCAGGAAAGCAATTCAAGGGAACAGCCCAGCCAGAGACATCATGATGTCACTTGGCATCTCCGGCTTGAGGTCCCACTTAGTATTTAAATGGAATATTGAGGAAAGTTGATCTAGTCCCCAAAGCTCGTCTGCTGCAGTCAACCAATAGTGAGAATTTGGTGATTTATTAATTTTTACTATTTTTTTTTGATTGCCAGGAAACAGCCAAAAGTATAATGTCCCATCACACGGTCGTAGCTTACTCAGATAATTTACTTCTCCTCGAGGAGTTGAACCTGTAGTCATACCCTAGGGTGCCTCAAAATTGTTTGGGAAGAAAGAAGAAATAAATAAATAAACAAGATAGATATCTGGCCTTTCCTCTTAAAAACTCATGTCGATGATCTCCCCTGCATGGATGCCAAAAACTCAGAGCCCCCAGGGACTCTTGGAGAATTCCCTCATCTAGTGCTTGTTATTGGAAGTTAAGACTCAAATTAGAACTTCATTCTAACTGGCCTTGGTCGTGGAAAGGAGAGTTCTAGATTTTTACATCCACCAAGAGAGGATGGAGCTCCACTGCCACCCTTCCCCGCCACTTCCCCCGATCACTAGCAGCTCCAAGCCTAGTGTGTCTGAGTGTGCACTGAACTATGTTCTGTCCCCAGAATGTCTGCACCAAGTGTGGGGTGGAGACCTCCAACAACCGCCCACATCCCGTGTGGCTTTGCAAAATCTGCATCGAGCAGAGGGAGGTGAGCAGACTGGTACCACCTGGCTTCTAGAGCGCCCTCCCTTTATGTCCAATTGTCCTTTCCTCCCTAGAATCAGGGAAACAGGGTGGCAGTTGGGGGCTGGGGAACCTGGTCAGGTATGTGTTTTAAGGGGTTGGTATGAAAGGAACCAGCTCAGATGTGAACACGGGTGGAACAGTCCCCAAGTGTTTGAACGAATTTCTGTTCTCACCTAGTTCTGTGAATTTTCCTAGTAGTCGGGAGCACACCACATTTAAGACGTGGGAGACTGGGTGGCCAGTCTTTGGCCTTTCACTCTCTGGCTATGTGACCTTATACCAGTTTATAAGCTTTCTGATATCCAACTTTCTCCATCAAGAAAGTAGGTCTGCTCAGGCCCTCTCTATTGAGCGTTCAGGGGTATCGTGTAAATCAAATAGAAATTGCGAAAGCCTGCAGTTGGTAAGAAAAGAGTGTTGGTTGTTGTGTCAGAGCGCCAGGGAAAGGAAGCAGAGTTAAAGACTGGCACTCGTGGAGGCAGGACCGATACGCTTGCCGCCATGTCTTCATCCTCCACCTCTCCTCCCCCAGGTGTGGAAACGTTCTGGAGCGTGGTTCTTCAAGGGCTTCCCCAAGCAGGTCCTCCCACAGCCTATGCCCATAAAGAAGACCAAGCCCCAGCTGCCTGTCAGTGAGCCTGCTGCCCCTGAGCAGCCCGCCTCTGAGCCCAAACACACTGCCCGGGCTCCAACTCGAGGTAGGACCAAAACAAACAAACAAAAGCATCTCTCCTTTTAGGACCAAGGACAGAGCTTAGCTAACTGGTCTACCTGGAGAGTGTCTTGACATCACATCTGTGTTTCTACCTAGTTGGTGGACAGCCAGCCTCTGGGCTTGGGTCTAGGACTCCCATGTCCCCTTCACAGCTCACCGTGAACCCTTATTAAGAAGGTAGCACAGAGAACTCTTCAACAATGCCAGACTTCCAAAAGGCTTTGTTGTCATCCTTGATGGAGTCTTTAGAGGTACAGCAGAGGTGGAAATTAAAATGAGGAGCTGAGAGAGACTCTCACAACTGAAATATAGACTGGGGCTTGGGGGGATTTGGGGCTTGCTGATAAGGCCTTCCTGACCCCTGATATTTCTTCTATCTACCATCAGTAAATCTGAAATTGGACTAATTAAAAGTAAAAGATGAATAGAAAGGAAATTAGTAAAAGAACATTACCACTACTATGGATATTATCATTATCATCCAAGTATTATCATTAATTATTAAAATGCTTATTAAAAGAGAGAGGCAAAACAGTAAAAAGTAAAAAAGCAACCACAATAAAAATGCATTTAAATTTCAGTTGAATTAGGCCACGAGGACTGACTAGATAAAGCCCTTGCAATAATTTCAATTGAACACGAAGTGATAAAATCAGATGTGATTGACAGTTCTGGAGTTGAGTGCAAGCTGTGCTTCTGGAAGGAAGGTTATAGTTGAAGGTGTCAAAAATTTAAAGTGCCCAACTATGTCCCCCCACAAGATAACTTTTCAAGATACCCAGTACAGTGCCTGGCATTCAAAAAGGCATCAATGAATACTTTTCTCCTAGCAAGGCAAGAGCAATTTCTACTCTTTGCAGACAGTTGCCAAACTATCAGTATACACACTGCATCCCTGAAGAGCCCCGAGCTTCTACCACCAGAGCATCCTTCTTCCTGGTTAAGAAGACCAAGTAGCATAACTGTCAAGATCTTGGCCATCTGAGGCCAGGAGAACGTGAATCTGAATTCCAGCTCTGCCACTTACTAGCTGTGTGAGCTTGGTCAAGGGGCCCAACCTCCCTGAGACCCTTTCCTCATCTATAAAAATGGGCTTCACAGATCACCAGGTTACTCTGAGGATTAAACGAGATGCTGCATGGAAAGTGCTTTGCGGAGTACAGCACTTGGTAAATGTTGGCTAATAATATATAATGTTAACCACCTATGCAAGACACATATACATACATAAATACATAAATGATATGAATGAGCTTATCAGACAAACTCTGGACAAAACAGATGAATCTGAAAATATGGTGGGTGAAAGACCCATTCACCTCACTTGAAAGGACTGACATCACCGGCATTGCACAGTGACACCTAAAAAATTATTGGTGATGACATCCAGTGCCGGTAATGTGTGACAAGGCAGGTACTCTGTAAACTGTTGGCAGGACTGTAAGTCACTCCCAGCCTTTTCGAAAATAATATGGCAGGGTTTATTCAATTCGAAGTGTATATACCATTCGATCCAGCAATCCCTCTCTGGGAATATATCTAACAGCAGTAAAATACCATGTAAAAAGATATATGTGTAAGTATATTCGTGGCATCACTATTTATGGCAGCAAAAACATTGGAAAAACCTAACTATTTGTTAATAGGGGAATCGTTGAATGGATTACGATGTATCCATACCATGCCATATTAAACATCTTTTAAAATAGAATGATGTCGATGTCCCTCATAGATCTGGAATCACGTCTGTGATAAGCACTTCTAGAATCCTTTTCACAAAGCGGTACCAAACACCACATGAGTTCCAGGCTCAGTTCTGTGCCCTAGGGATAGAGAGGTATACAGAACAGACCAAAATTGCTGCCTTCGTGCAGCTAAAATTCTAGTGGGAGAAACATGCTCACGGACTGCCAGCGTGAATACAGGTAATATCAGGTAGTGACAAATGCCAGGAAGGAAAGCGAAGCCGGTGAAGGGGATAGATGTGACAGCGGGCTCTGCTTCGGATAAAGTGGCTGGAGAAGGGCTGTCTGGAGATGATCTTTGGGGAGATGCCTCACCATAGTGATAGGGCCCATAGAATCTTCAGGAATGTTGTGTGCAAAGGACTTGAGGCTGGAACATGCTTGGTGAGCCCTGGGGATAATCAGGGTGAACAGAGCACATCTAGAAGAGTGTGTAATCTGTGCTCCCAGCTGGGTCTTTTTTAAGCCCGTGTTTGCTCACGTGTGTCTGTGCTCACGAAGGAAACAACGTAAAATCGGAAACGAGGTACACCCAAGGGGAGGCTGGGAGGGGAGACTTTCAATTAAAAAAAAAGAGTTCTTGGGAGTGGCGGATGGGCCCCTTTGTAAGCTCCTTAAGTAATGGTTCTCCAGACACCATAAAACACGTATTCCCCCTCATTTTTCTCTCTCTCCAGGTGACGCCGAAGACAGGAGGGGCCCAGGTCAGAAGCCAGGTGGGTTCGGCCAAACCTGTCTTCTCCTTTGGGATGCGAGTCCTTTCACCCCATTCCCCCCGTTGACCTTTTCTCCATTCGATTCGTGCTTTTCCTTCCAGGCCCTGACCCGGCCTCTGCTTCTGGGCGAGGAAGCTACGGGCCTCCCGTGCGCAGGGCCTCCGAGGCACGAATGAGCTCGTCCGGCCGGGACTCGGAGAGCTGGGACCAGGGCCATGGCGCCACTGCTGGTGACTCCAGCCGGAGCCCAGCAGGTGAGAGAGATGGGCAGATCCAGGCAGGCCGCCTGGCTGAGGAGAGTCAGAAAGAATGGGGAGGACAGTGTTTGTATTCATCTGTTCTTTTCGTACTTAGCAAACACCTACTGTGTGCCATGCTTGGTTGCAGATGCTGGGTCTGGCCTACGGGAGAAGACAGGTTTCAGAAACAGTTCTGACTCCAGACGTCCAAAATTTTGGTTATATCCCTTTTTTTGCTCTTGTGCCCTATTTAAGAAAAACATATGATTTTTTTTCCCCTTCCTCCCCCAAAAAGCTCTGGGGCAAATGCCTCTTGGCTTTTTGCGTTCAGAAGTAAGGATGCTTCTCTCTCACGGGTCTGTCCGAGTTCTTTCTTCCCTTGGCAAGTGGCCTGTGCCGAAGGTGGCAGTGGGCTGGGTTAGCAGGGCCAGGATGCCACTCACAGGTGCTCTCATTGCATCGCGTGCCCAGCACCTCGGTCCTCTCTCGTGGTGGATTTTTCCAGCAAGAGTGCCCACCAGTGGGAGCCCCGGATTCCCGGACTTTGGAAGAAACGCCTGCTGGACCGCGGAGATCCGTGTTTCGTACCCCTTGTGTGCGAACTTGGAACAGCTTCATTTCTTTTGTAGCGAGGTCATGAGACTGAGTCGAAGTTCAACGGGCTGAATGTCAGGTCTCATGTTGACCTCTGGCCTTCTTTTTCTTAATAGTGGGTTCATGGCTTAGCACCTAATGGTCTCAAGCAGACTCCAGAGACCAAATGCCTGAGTCAAACCCTGGCTCTGCCACACGCCAGCCAAGAAACATCGGCTGAGCTCTTTTACGTCTCTGTGCCTCGGTTTCCCCATTTATAAAATGAAGATAATGCAGCACCCACCTCGCGAGGTGTAGAGGTCAAATAAGTTCTTATATGTAAAGTCTCCGGCACATGATAAACAGTCAATAAATGTTAACTCGTTTTTTTCGAGTAGGTAGAGTTGCCGCCTCCAGGAGGCATCTGAGAGGTTCAGAGAGGGTGAGTGAGCAGCCCAAAGTCACACAGCTTGTAAAAGGGAACACTTGAATGAAAAGCCAGGTCCATGTGACAATAGCGACGATTCTTTCAATAATAATAGAAGAATCCCGACATCTGCCACGTGTGGAGTGTTTCCCACGTGCCGTGCACTGTTCCGAGCTCTTTGGATGTATCATATCATTGCATCTCCACCGCGTGCTGTGAGGTAGATGCTGTTCCCCCCATTTAACAGATGAGGAGACCGAGGCCCAGAGAGGAGGGGTCACTTGTACAAGGTCACACATGGTGGAAGCAACGGCACAGAACCTGTGCTCTTCACCAGCCATGCTGCTGCTGTCACTCGCCCAGAGGGTCTGAGTATTGGAAAGAGACACCTCCCTGAGGGAGGAGAAGAGGGTCTGGAAGAGCTGAGAGTGTTGGGGGACGGCATTCAAACCCAGAAGGCATTGCCTCGCGCCGACTGACTGGTCCCAGCGTCTTCCTGCTTCCAGTGCGTGCGCGCGTGCGTGTACATAACATGACGAGCTGTTTCCTTTCCTTTCTCCTGCAGGTTTGAGACGAGCCAACTCAGTCCAGGCTGCCAGACCTGCCCCCACCTCAATGCAGAGCCCGGCACCTCCTCAGCCCGGGCAGCCAGGTACCTGCTGCCCGCCCACCCACCCACCCACCCCAGCTGTCACTCAGCAGTGACC